AAACAAACAAACAAAAGAAACAATAAAAACCGGAGAAAAAATCGGAGAACAGGTATTTAACATGTATACCCAGGAGCCTTTAGAATGAAGACCCAAAGAGACAAGGGAAATGGTCCATTTTTACGATTAGGTTCAGCAAAGTCTGGACAGCCATGTAGAAATATGACAGGACAAAGAAGGTGTGAGCTAATGCTAATAGACCAAGTGGGAGCTGGCAGGTGGCTCACACCTAAAATCCTAGCACTCTGGGAGGCCAAGGCATGAGGATGCAGTGCGGCCAGGAGTTTGAGCCCAAAGACCCCATCTCTAGTAAAAATAGAAAAAACTACCCAAGCATTATAGTGGGCAACCGTAATCCCAGCAGCTTGGGAGGCTGAGGCAGGAGGATTCCTGGAGGCTGCAGTAAGCTACAATGACAACACTGTACTCTAACCTGGGTACAGAGGAAAAAAACTACACTGAGTAAGGAAACCCGGCAAGGCCTGTCTGTCTAGATTCTTCTTGACCTGAGCGGCATTCCTTCCTTCTGGCTATGGCAGAGGGTGAGAGGTGAGAGAACTTTCTTTCTTTTTTTTTTTTTTTTCTTTTGAGACAGAGTTTTACTTTGTTGCTCTCAATAGAGTGCAGTAGTGTCATAGCTCACAGCAACCTCAAACTCTTGGGCTCAAGTTATTCTCTTACCTCAGCCTGCCAAGTAGCTGGGACTACAGGTGCCTGCCACAATGCCTGGCTATATATTTTTTTAGAGATGAGGGTCTCAATCTGGCTCAGGATGGTCTTGAACCCCTGAGCTCAAGCAATCCATCCACCTCAGCCTCCCAGAGTGCTAGGATTACAGGCAAAGAATTTCTTTACAGCCAGTTTTTACACAGAATATTTTTAGGTTTTATGGCTGGCTTTGGGGAAAAGGTGTTCTGGTTTCCATGACCCACCTTGGGAAAGAGGAGTTCTAGTTTCTGTGCTCAGCCTCGGGGGAAGAGGGGACTGAGAGCCCTGCCAGAGGGCAGGGAAAAGCCAGAGAGGAACTTCTGCTTCTGATGCCTTTGTTTGTGGGTGCTGTTTTCTGAGCCCCAGCATCCTCTGTGGTTAAGAGCCCTAACAATAACATTCCCTAACTTCTATGAGCCTCAGTTTTCTTATCTGTAAAACAGGGATAACATACTTTCCTTACAGTAATTTTGTGAAGATCATATGAGTTAAAATGCAAGAAGCTTAGTGTAACGCCAGGCACATAACAAGAACAAGTGTTAGAGTTTTTAAAATTATTGGCTCGGCGCCTACAGCTCAGCCGGCTAAGGCCCCAGCCACATACACCTGAGGTGGTGGGTTCGAATCCAGCCCGGACCCGCCAAACAACAATGACAGCTGCAACCAAAAAATAGCCGGGTGTTGTGGCGGGCGCCTGTGGTCCCAGCTACTTGGGAGGCTGAGGCAGGAGACTCGCTTGAGCCCAGGAGTTGGAGGTTGCTGTGAGCTGTGATGCCACAGCACTCTACCCAGGGGGACAGCTTGAGGCTCTGTCTCAAAAAAAAAAGAAATAAAATAAAATTATTATCATTCTTTATCCTTTTGAACTGAACTGTCATCTCTGACGCCTTCCCCAACACCGTCCTCGTGTCTAATTGGGGACTTCTTTCTGACTGTCCCGCTGGGTAACTATCTGCCTTCCTGACTGTACCATTTTCTTACTCATCTCTGTATTCCAAATGTCTGGCAATGGTAGGAATATGAAAGTCCTTATGAACAAACTAACAGACAAGTGAATACTCCTCCTTTCCAGGGCTCCCCCCCCCCTTTCCCAGGGGCCTTGTACTCTAACAGACTGGCTTAAGTCCCTCTAGTCACAGGAGAAATGCTTAACAAAGAGTCATCACGCTGAACAAACACTCTTCTTGGGTAATAAAAGAAACCCCTCTGTGAAAGACACGCTCAAAACAAAGGAAAGAGTCTCTAATGGTGGATTTTAGACCCTAAGGCACTCTCTCCCCCACCCCCATCTATTATCTATATCTGCTTAGAGAGGGACCATTTCAACAATTGAGAAATATTGGAAGATAATGTAGGAACAGAGCTTTCAGGGGAAATTTTTGTGAGTGTTCTCTTGAAAAGTTGTGCGGGAGCCACATTTTTAAAAACACAAATCATATTTTGAATGAGTAAAAGAATGTTTTTAATTTACTGGAGAAGCTGGCTTGTTAAATCCTATTGTGAATTCTTTCTTAAGACTGAAGTAAGGAATTCTTTTGTTAAGTAAATATTCAGGCCCTTCCTTGCCAAAGAGCTTTTGAAATCTTTTGCTGTAATTATGCTGATGTTTTCTGTGTTTATATGTTAAATGCCTAGAGCTTAATTGTTAATGGGTAAACAAGAGAAGCCTGCCAGGTCCTGGCCAAAAGAGGCCCAAAAGCTAAGGCTGGGAGAACCCTGGCTCCTGAGGACTCCCCTGGAGGGGAGGGGAGGGGAGGGCAGTCAGCAAAACAGTGCTCTGTTCTCTGCAAATGCTGCCCCTGGAGAGGGTAAGGACCACAGGCTGATTCCCCAAGGCAGATGGTCTGGGCTGGAATCCCATGCCACCACAGCAGGCTCAGCACGGCCACCTTAGGTGGACACATTTCACCTCATTCCTCAGGGTCCTCAGCAGCAAAATGGAGATAAGAGCAGCGCACCTCAGAAGGGCTTTGAGAAACTAAATAAATTCATATTGTAGGAAAATGCTTAGAACCCCATCTGGCATATACTAAGTGCTATGCAAGTTAAATATTTAACTGAGTGTTCAAGAAACATTGTATTAGAATTCCATCCATGAAATGTATCTGGAACAGAGGTGCAAATAACATTTTGCCCTTGTGGATGGTTTTGTGGGTTTACAGCGAGTGGGCTGTACATATGTGACTGGTCCTCCTTCATGTCAAGGCATATGGAATATCGTGTAGTTTTTCTAGTTGCTGCAACACATCTCTGGGAAACCACATGCAGAGCATAGAAATTTCTGAGGCTATTTCCATATATGTCCAGTGGCTCAATATGGTGAGTTCAGATCAACCTTCTCTTTGAATGTTCCAAGGACAGAGAGCTTCTCCACTTTCAAGGACTGGGAGCTAGAGTCTCAGCAGGAGCTGGTTGGGACCTGCTCAGCCTGCCAGGATATCTCCTAGATAATCTTAGCTATTCCAGGCAAAGGAACCTTAAATCCTAAATCAGCAGAACAATTATAGGGAAGGACTTAACCGGAAATCTCTCTGTGTCTGCTGAGGAAGGTTTTTCTCAGCTTAGAAGGGAGGGGAGAGCTGAGGGTACTCAAAGGGTACAGACTTGAGATAGAGAGAGACCCAAATCTCAGATCTGCAAGGGCTCCCCTCTGGATTCTTGTCCTTCAGGGGGACAGAATGTGGTCCAAGGTGAGGTTCTCACTCAAGGAGCAGGAAAATGTGCTCTCAAGCTTTGCCAGATTAAAAATTTCAGCGTTGAGTCAGGTGCAGTGGCTCATGCCTTTAATCCTAGCACTCTGGGAGGCCGAGGCAGGTGGATAGCTTGAGCTCACAGGTTCAAGACCAGCCTGAGCAAAAAGCATCCCAAATCTACTAAAAATGGAAAACACTGAGGCAAGAGGATTGTTTGAGCCCAAGTTGGAGATTGCTGTGAGCTATGACGCCACAGCACTCTACTCAGGGTGACAGCTTGAGCCTCTGTCTCAAAAAAAAAAAAAAAAAAAATTCAGAGTTGAAAATGGTGTTTCAATCCCAAACTAAAGGCAGCTAGCGAAGAGCTGAGAGCACCCAAAGTATTTCAGGCTCCAAATGCCGGGTTCCCAGCATTATTGGACCAGACAGGAGTGTCCAACCTTTTGGCTTCTCTGGCTTGTCTTGGGACCACACATTAAATACACACACAAACACTGATGAAAGTTGATGAGAAAAAAAAACAAAAAAGGTCCATTGATAATTTTTGTGATATCTGCCACCGCTTCTGCATGTGGCCCATGGGCTGTAGGTTGAACCCCCTGATAGTTGAGCACAGCCTGGAGGGGGGGTCCACTAACAGGTCAGCCCCTCCTCTCCTCAGAAGGATGCTCAACCCAGTGCCATCTGGGTCCAGAGCACAGGTTCCCCATGTCCTTGCCTGGGACTCACCGTGCTGCAATCAGAGAGGCTCAGGATCAGCTCTGGAGAGGACTTTCCCTGTGTCTGGGACAGCAGGTGGCAAGTTTTCCTCCAAGATGCCCAAGGTAGCTCCTCCCCCTCCTCCTCCCTCTTGGAATTCTCACTTCCATTTGTACATCACTTATAACTTGTCAAGGCACAGTCACATCTGTTATTCCCCCCCCCAACCCCTGCAACCACATCTTCAGGGTAGACAGAAAAGTGCTCTTGGGGCACTTCACAGCCAAAGAAGCAGAGGCTCAAATGCCACGGACATGCCCAGGGCCACAGAGGTGTCACCAACCCAGAGAGACAAAGCCTTCACACCACACTCTGCCCACTCTCATTTCCGAGGCCTCCCAGGAGAGGAAAGTGACAGGGGCTCTATGACCACGTGGCTCCAGGACCTGACCCCAGTCTTCCCATGGGAACCAGGACCAGCAGCCACATTCAGGCAAAGGTAGGCAGTGATGACCACACATAGACCCCTGCACCTGGCACGCCCCTCTTTCCTCTGCACGCTGTCCCCACCCTCAGTCCCATCCAACCCCATGGTCCCTCCCATGAGCCAAGGCCCTTGGCCTATTATGCCTGGGACATCTATCATCTTCTTTTTTGTTTGTTTGTTTTGTCCTCAATTCTAAGAGTTGGTTTCCCAGGAACCCTAATACTTGCGCCTTCCTGAGCTGCTGGGAAGAGCAGGGGTACCCTCCACTCCAGAGGGTGCTGGCACTTTCCGTCACGCAGCCAACTCTGGTTTTCCTCCTCTTGTGAAAGGGGCGGGTCAGATGGCACCAGGGATTGGAGACCCTCTGAAGAAGGCAGGAAGAGATGCCCACATCGGGAAAGGGATGAGACCCCATGGGGAAAGACCTCCTCACCGCCGAGGGGTTTATTAGGAACAAAGAATCAGAGTTGGCGAGGGCCTTGGAGACTGCCTGGGTCAACGCAAGAAGCCGGCTGAGGAGCTTGGGAACAAGAGACCAAAACCAGCCAAGTGGGGAACAGAAGGGAAGGAAGAAGTTGAACAGTGAAGAGAAAAGACAAAGAACAGGCTGTTCCAAGGAGCCAAGAATGCAAATCATTTGCAGGCGCCACTGAGATTTCCAACCCCGGCTCCTGTGGGAGTGGCTGACATGGGGATGGGGGACAGGGCACGCTGAGTGTGAGCCGGTGTGTGAGTGTCCCCGCTGAGTCACCCTGTGTGTGTGATGATTGTGTCAGCTGTGAGTCATCAAGCTGTGTCAGAGTCGGGGTGTGTGACTGTGACTGTGACGTCTATCTGTGTTTCAGTGCACAAGCCTTCACCAGGGCTGCCTGTGCCCAGAGTGACAGTGGAATGTGACTGAGAGCCAGGGAGCGCGCACTCCCGGGGGGAAGCTGTGTTTAAAGGCACCACGCTTCATTCGCACCGTACATCACACACCACATTTCTGAACGCGTTCCAAGGAAAGCCATCTGTGCCCCCTTCCTGCTGAAACCCCCCTGTGGAGCAGCAATGCGAAATTCTTCAAGCTCTCAGGGTTGTTTTCAGAGTCAGAGATGGCCACAATCTTGGAATCCTAAATTTCCACCTCTTAATTTTGCAGGGGGAGGAACTATGGCAGAAAAAGCAGACGCCGCTGTGGACCCAGCATCAGTTGAAAAGCCCGCAGAAAAGCCAGGTGCTCCCCTGGGTTCCCTAGCTTCCCTGCCTAGGATACCATCCCCCAACATAGAGGGGGTCCTTTTTTCTTTTTCCACAGATAGGTGATGATGTCACTTCTTTTAACTAAAATGCACTTAGAATCCTAGCACTCTGGGAAGCCAAGGTAGGTGGAGTGTCTGAACTCAGGAGTTCAAGACCAGCCTAAGCTAAAGTAAGACCCTGTCTCTCTAAATATCCAGGTGTTGGGGCAGGCGCCTGTAGTCCCAGCTACTCAGGAGACTGAGGCAAGGGGATTGCTTGAGCCCAAGAGTATGAGGTTACTGTGAGCTATGACCCCACAGCATCCTACCAAGGGCAACAGAGTGAGGCTCTGTCTCAAAAAAAAAAAAAAAAAAAAAAAAAACATGCACCTAGATCCTCCCCCAGAGACTTACGTCACATCCTCATGTCTGGAGTTGATGACTAACCCCAAAGGCAAAGTCAGGGCATCTCTAGCCAGGTGGCCATAGACGGAGAGTCATTTGTCCTCTTTTCAGTTTGCTTTTTTGTATGTTTGTTTTGTTTTTTGAGACAGATTCTAACTTTGTCACCCTTGGTAGAGTGCTGTGGTGTCACAGCTCACAGCAACCTCCGACTCCTAGGCTCAAGCGATTCGTTTACCTCAGCCTGCCAAGTAACTGGAACTACAGGCAATGGCCACAATTCCTGGCTATTTTTAGAGACAAGGTCCTGCTGGGCTCAGGCTGGTCTCGAACGCGTGAGCTCAAGGCAATCCACCTGCCTGGGCCTCCTAGAGTGCTAGGATTACAGGCATGAGCCACCGCACCTGGTCTGTTCTCTTTTCCTGGAGCCTCATGAGCCCCAACCAGGTCCGGGGGACCCCACAGGGAGAGGAGACCTGTACTTAGGTCTCTAGGTCCAGAATTGGCTGTGCTTTTTGGTTCCCTGGCTACTCTGTGATTCAGAAGTTGCTATGAGACATCTGGGAAAGTCTCATGCAGGACTCCTGATCCCCCACTGCCCACCACTCCACCCCCTGCCACCTTCCTGGTTCCCATTTCATAGCTCAATTTCACCTGCCCGGCAAAAATGAAAAAAAAAAAAAAAAGAATAACAGTAGTGATTTTAGCAGTTCTAAGAAAGGAGGTAAAGAGATTGCACCTATTAAGTATGAAGATGAAGTTTGGGGATTATCTATGAGTGTCAATTACCCGTTCCATTCTTTCTTCTCAGATGGTTCAGAGATGACCTGAACTTCAAAGGGATCACTTCACCCACTGGATTTATTGTTCTTATTTTATAAGAATTAAGTAGTTACTATATACACAGCACTGTTGAGCCCATTCAGTAGGTCCAGACGCGCCCTGCATCCCTGGAGAGCAGAGATTTGTTATCTCATTTATCAGGACCTCAAAGCCCTTTCACTCCAATAACACCTTGGCACTGACCACAGAGGCGGCTGAGGTGCTCAGGCGGGTGAGTGGGAAGAACGGGAGGGACGGAGCAATCACTGCTCCAGGTCAGACCCCGAGTGAGGCTGGTCTTATGCCTGGGTCCAGGGTCTGCATTCACGAAATGATCTTTTCCCAACAGGCCTCTGCTCAAAGCATGCCCTGGGAAGGGATTGAGGAAGATGTTTCCTTTTGTGGTAGACGGAACGACAGATCGGTAAATGTAGCTATCATAACATGCTGTCTTTCTTATGTAGCATATGGGTCAAAAGAGTAAACACATATTTCCTAGAATACAAGTAAATATGTGTATAAGAATATTTATTTCAGCATTATATGTAAAATAGTAAAAAGCTATACACTACTTGAAGAATCCATTAATAGGAGATTAGTCAAATAAATCATGGTATATCCATGTAGTGGAAGATCAGGCAGCTATGGGGAATGAGTTATAACTACCTAAACCGACCAAGAAAGAGGTATTGATTCTTAAGAGGTATTGTTTGTTTGTTTGTTTGAGACGGAGTCTCACTTGGTCACCCTCAGTATATTCTTAAGTTAAAAAAAAAAAAAAGAAAAGAAAGGCCAAGCATGGTGGCTCACACACCTATAATCCAGGCCCAGGCGGGTGGATTTCCTGAGCTCAGGAGTTCGAGACCAGCCTGAGCCCCAGCGAGACCCCATTTCTAAAAATGGCCAGGCATTGTGGTGGCACATGCCTGTAGTCCCAGCTACTGGGGAGACTTAGGCAAGAGGAACTCTTGAGCCCAGGAGTTTAAGGTTGCTTTGAACTATGATGCCATGACACTCTATCCAGGGTGATAAAGTGAGACTCTATATCAAAAGAAAGAAAGAAAGGAAGAAAGGAAGAAAGGAAGAAAGGAAGAAAGAAAGAAAGAAAGAAAGAAAGAAAGAAAGGAAGAAAGGAAGAAAGGAAGAAAGAAAGAAAGAAAGAAAGAAAGAAAGAAAGAAAGAAAGAAAGAAAGAAAAGAAAAGAAAAAAGGAATAGAATATGATCTTATTTTGCACTAAAAAATTAAAAGGGAAGACAAGTGCACGGCCTACAGATATATGAAAAAATTCTCACCATCCTTAATCATCAGAGAAATGCAAATCAAAACTACTTTGAGATACCATCTAACTCCAGTAAGATTAGCCCATATCACAAAATCACAAAACCAGAGACATGGGCATGGATGTGGAGAAAAGGGAACACTTCTACACTGCTGGGAATGCTAATATGTTCCTCTTGGAAAGATGTTTGGAGAACACTTAAAGAACTAAAAATTGACCTGCCGTTCGATCCTACAATTCCCCTACTAGGTATATACCCAGAAGACCAAAAATCACACTATAACAAAGATATTTGTACTAGAATGTTTATTGCAGCCCAATTCATAATTGCTAAGTCACGGAAGAAGCCCATGTGCCCATCGACCCACGAATGGATCAATAAATTGTGATATATGTACACTGTGGAATATTATGCAGCCTTAAAGAAAGTTGGAGACTTTACCTCTTTCTGTTTACATGGATGGAGCTGGAACATATTCTTCTTAGCAAAGTATCTCAAGAATGGAAGAAAAAGCATCCAATGTACTCAGTGCTACTATGAAACTAATTTATAGCTTTCATATGAAAGCGATAACCCAATTATAGCCCAAGAACATGGGGAAAGGGGAGAGGGAGGGGAGGGGAGGGGAGAAGATGGGTGGAGGGAGGGTAATTGGTGGGACCACGCCTACGGTGCATCCTACAATGGTACATGTGAAACTTACTAAATGTAGAATAAAAATGTCTTAACACAATAACCAAGACAATGCCACGTAGGCTATGTTAAGCAGTTTGATGAAAATATTTAAAATTGTACATAAAACCAGCACATTGTACCCCATGACTGCATTAATGTACACAGCTAAGATTTAATTAAAAGAAAAAGAATAAATAAATAAATAAAATGAGGTTGTTAGGGTGGGCAAAATAATTAATTAATTAACTAAAAGGGATAGCCAAGTAAATATATATGTTTAGATATGTAAAAAAGGAGGATGGATGTAGGTAGGGAAAATGTGAAATGTGTGTATGTAGGAAAGTGTGGGAAAACACATACTATATGGGAAAAAATGTGGAAGGATACACACAAATCTGATTCTAATGTTTACTTCAGTGGGTGGGTTAAATGGTTAATAAATTAATTTTTTGTATACAATGTTGTTTGACTTATAAGTATGAATTTTATAGCCTTCATAAAGAAGAATAAAATGTATTATGAAAATAAAAAGAATAGAAAAAAACGGGGTTGCAGAAGCTTGCTGGCCACACTCCCACTGGTGCTGCCTCCATGCGGGAAGCTTCACCTGCCATGGCCCTGGGAGAGCCCGCAGCCATTACTCAAGGAATCATGACTCACTGGGCTGCTACTGTAACATCCGGGGGAGAAAACAAGGACTTAGGCTGGCAGTGCTAAAGGAAAATACTGATTTGCATAAACATATGTGACATAAATGTATTCAATGACTTTGAGATATCTCACTCTAAACAGATAAAATCAACTAGAACGAGTGCAAATTTCTGGCAACTGTGCTCTCACTCCCCATTATTTATTTATCCAGGGCATTGAAAATTGGAATAAATCACAGATGCCTGCTCTGAATCAGGAGGGAAGCGGAAGGCAGAGAGAGTTAAGTGTATGTGCCAGGCCCTGAGCCCAGCACTACGCAGACATCATCCCGCCTGATCCTTACAGTCACCTGCAAGGCAGGAGGAGCAAACACATACACACATACACACACATACACACATACACATACACAC